AAGATGTAACCTATATTATATCTATATCTTTTTTTGGACCCGAATTGTAAAAGGGTTAAATTTATATCTTATATAAGATTAAATTTTAAAAAAGATAAATCAATTTTTAAATAGAATAAATAAAATGAGCACGAATCTTTTTTTATGAATAACATGTGCACGAATCTTTTATTTAATTTAATTTTTTTTTAATTTAATTTAAAATTTTGAAATTTCATCAAACATTTACATGAGAAATTCTACAATATCCAGCACAACAATCCGAATATCTAATTGTTACTAACAACAAAAATAGAAAAGGGACTTTTGTCATTTTTATTAACTAAAAATATAATTGAAACGTCTCAAGAAAATATTAGATTGTCAATATCAACTCTTAAATATGTTTAACCATGTTGAATTGAGTTATAAAAACTACTTTAAAGAGACGATGAGTCGCGGAACATTTAGAAAATATAAAAACGTTTTGAAGTAACATGTAGATCCACTCTCGTATTCTAAAAGGAAGATTTTTAAAAAAAGTTATCATACAAAGCTGTTGACACTTGACAGTGCTTTGAAAGTTGTAAATTGAAAAGTTTTACTGATTTGTATACCGATGAGTATTGTAATGTGTGCCTTGCCAAGATGTAACCTATATTATATCTATATCTTTTTTTGGACCAGAATTGTAAAAGGGTTAAATTTATATCTTATCTAAGATTAAATTTTAAAAAAGATAAATCAATTTTTAAATAGAATAAATAAAATGAGCACGAATCTTTTTTTATGTATAACATGTGCACGAATCTTTTATTTAATTAATTAATTTTTTTTTTTTGGGATATCTAATAATATATATTATCATACTCACTATTTTATTGTTGTTTTCTAGCCCCATCTAATATATATATATATATATATATATATATATATATATATATATATCTTGATAGTCATGTCAAAGTATTATGGAAAGACAGTCGTCATACTTGATCAAACGCATGAGAATGTGATTGATTGGAACATGTAATAAATTTTTGAGTAAAGTAAAAAAAATCTTTTTGAATTATATCCAAATTTGCAAGTAAGCTCTTTGAATTATATATTGTGCATAATATCCTTGAACTATTTCTTTCGGTTACAAAAAGCCTCAATGCCTAGATTATTTTTCATTAAATGACCATAATGTCATTTCTTTTTAAATTACACTTAATTTATTTTTCTTTTTGAAATAAATTATGAAAAAAAAACTCACACTATATTGATGACAAATTCTCCATTAAATTTGCATAAATATATCTTTAATTTTTATATTAATTGTTTAAATAAAAATCTTCAGTATAAAATTTTAAAACAATTTAAGTAATTTTTAATTTTTTTTTATTAATATAGTGCATGAAAATGAAGGTATTTTTTATTTAAATAATTTCTTAAATTTTCATGAATATATTGTATGAAAAAGAAGGTATTTTTTATGGTAAAAAAAAGTTTAAACAGAGTGTATAAGAAGTTTTGTCATAAATAGTATACCTTAATTAAAAGTTAATTAGAAAATATGATTACAAATCTATTTAATTTTTTCCATTATTATGATAAATCGATACTAATAATAAAATTAAGGTAAATTGTATAATTAATATTTAGATAAGAAAAAAAATAATAAAAATAATTTAATAAAAAATGACAAATTTAATGAAAAAGGGTAAAATAGTCTTTTGTGATGGTTTGTCCTTACTGCAACAAATCTATAGTTCAGGAGGACAATTTTTAGTTCAAGGGGGTTATTTGCGAAAAAGGCAATAATTTAGGAGAGTTTTACACACTTTACCCTAATTTTTCCGATAATCAAGGATGCTGCTAGAAGAGGTAGGTAGAATACAGACCCAACTTTTTGAAATAATTTCACAAAATCATTCATCTCATGATTCAAATATGCATTCAGAAACCAAGCTTTCCAAGCTTTTACAACTGTAATTAAATCCTAAAATATGAGAAGAGTTAGCATTAAGACACAAGGATAACATGTATACAAATATATATTGTTACAAATGCATTGTCTGTTTATCTTTCTGAAGCATCACAATATACCGTAATTCAAATACATAACGTGAAATACATGAGTGAATATAATCGATTATTCTTCACAGAAAGCAATCCATAAATTGAAGGAGATAGCCAAACTATAAGGTTCTTCAAATAATACAATCTTTCTAGGGATCACATGACCAATAAGCAGAAGGTACATCCTCATATGCATCGATCAGCCAATGTAGCGACATTGCCAGGACGAGAAAATACCATCTACATTGGAGGGAATTAAAGTACCTTTATCAGTTCTAGCACCAAATATTTCGAACTAGTTCTTAACAAATAGCAGTAAGTCTTCAAACCTCAGTAATTTTATGAAAGTAGAGAATCATGCAATTCATCAGATCAGATAAATGGTTTACTTAACGCTCACGTAAAATACAATCTATAATTGCATTGGATGATTTTCACAATTTCGTTTAACACGTTGTAGATTCATATGCCATTGAACAACTACAATGGCACAGTTGCATTCGCAATGGGACATCCTAACATCAGAGCTGTTTATTTATTTATTTTGACTCGTTAAAGAAGGATAGAATAAACATTATCAATGAAATGTGTGACACAGGGTGGAGAGATACCTGATAGACTCCAAACCTACGAGTCTTGAAAACAGCTGCACAGTAATCAAAATAGTACTCCCATGTCCGGATGAACTTTTCATCAAATCCTAATGCGAGAATTTTGCTAAGAGAGAGAGTAAAGAATATTATAAATTTATGTACTTTTTTTTTATTTTTTATTTTTATCATATAACAGGTAAAAGATAGTGTTTATAATGGCAAATGCTGCAGAAATTCAAAAAGGATAATCAGCAGAGGCAAAAGATAAGTAGAATCTCTTTGTTCAAGTCACAACTACAATTTTATGCCCTTTCATCATAGCTAGGCTTTTCATGTAATATCTAAGCCTGCACATTCCATAGTCCTGAACTTCAGATAGACCTGGAAATTTGTGGTGATCTATTAGGTATAACTAGTCGGGCATTACCTAGTAGCCTAGTGTTACAAGGGGGACTTATCTCGCATCGGATCTGCATGGGGAAGTGAATGGGTTTATATGAGTTAGGTGTTAGCCCCACCAAATAACTTAAGTTTTTGGGTCGGATCGCAAAGCACCTAACCTGTTACAGTTGGTATCAGAGCCAGACCCATTCCTTGATTTGGTACCACGTCAAGTGCCCGACTTGGAAGGGTCCGGGTTAGGCACCCTTGGTAGGTAGGGTAACCCGATCGCAATGAGGGCATTGCAAGTTCGGATGGAGAGAATGTTGTAAGGGGGACTTGTCCTGCATCGGATCCGGATGGAGAAGTGAATGGGTATATATGCATTAGGTGTTAGTCCCACCTAATAGCTTAACCTTTTAGGTCAGATCATGAAGCACCCAGAAGGAAAGGTTATTTGCTATTGGCTCACCCTTGTATCAGGCCTTGGTACAACATATGCATAATTGGGCATATATTCATGCTTGTGTAAGTGTTATTACATGAGACTTCCCAAGTTATTTGAGCGTCTCGATATGCTGTATGTGTGTATGCGTATCATTTACTTGGTAAAAGTTAATCACCCATTCAAATGGTAAGGGGGTTCATATTTTGACGTCATTCCTCGATCATTTAAAAAAAAAAAAAAAACGCTAGATAAATCAAGTTGTCCAATTTATTTGTTGATGACATCAAAATAAATTGGAAAAAAAGAGCTAGAGAATAATATATTTTACCACTGGTTATCCAACAAGTTTTTCCTCCAGCATCGGAGCGTATGGAAATAATGAAAGCCTATGTTTTCTATGTGCTCAACGCTGCATTTATAGCACTTACGTAAAGTTCCAGAAAAGAGAAGTTGAAGAGAAACAATACCCAACTATATATTCATACAAACAATGTAAGCCTTTACCTGAGTCTGGATGAAGCAGCCATTGCTGATGTTATTCTACTTAATGAAGGAATGCATACACCAGGAAAAATATATTCCTTTATGAAATCTGAGCTTCGCCTGCACTCATCATACTTTTCATCTGGTATTGATGAGAACTAAAGAGAAATCAACAAGTCTAAGGTGTTAGAAAATCGCTGAAAATTAAATTAGAATCGTTAATTATATGACATGAAATTTTCAATTCATGAATTCTAGAGATTAAGAAGATTAGAAATTACATTAGTCAGCTAGCTTTAGGAATTAGTTGGCTTTGCATCGTGTTTGGACAAAAAAGTTGATATTCTAATAGTGAGGCATGGCTATAATCATGATTTTACATCAAAATGAGGTATTTGTTGGGTTTTGTGGCTAGAATTCGGTGTGTATGATGGACCAGTCCAAGTTATTTGGACCAGTCCAACTGGGGTGAAGCTTGTAGTTACGGAATTTCCCTAAGTGGACCTGTCCAACTAGGGTAAAGATTGAAGGTAAGGGAAGGAAATTGGGGCATATTAGGCTGCTATTTTATTGATTTGATTGTTATGGTAACTCATTGTAGGCAATTTGTGGATTTATTGTCCAACAAGGAATTACGTTTGAAGACTTTATAAATAGAGTTGGGTGTGAGAGATAGAGGTAGAGAAAGATAGAGAAAGTAAAGATGTAAGGGGTTGAAAGGGTGAGTGTTGTAAGGAGAGGGGAGAGTATATGTAATTTCCCGAGTGTAACGATGTAGCCTCAAGAGTATGTTGAGTGAGAGTGAGTGGGGTTTTGATCTCTAGTTGTATATTCTTTTCCTTGATTCACAATACTGACATCTTGTAATGTCTGTGTATTTATGTGCATAGGTGTATATATAATATGTGTATTATGTTGTGTTATGGCTCAAATTTAAGCAAAAAGTTAAAGGAAAAAGAAAATAAAAGGTGGTGGGACCTACCATTAAACCAACTAAGGGCCAAGAGACTACAAATGGTCTCATTTCTCTCCTTCTCTCCCGTGTGCCTCTCTCTTCCCCTCTTCCTCTCTTTTTTTCTTTTCATTTTAATTTCCAAAACTTTGAAGCAAGATCTTGATCTCATTTCTTATCGAAATTGAGTGCCGTTTGAGGCAAAACGAAGCTCGTGTCAAGCTCTACACATCCATACAAGCGATTTCAGATTTAGTGCACTCCTTGGAGTTCGAATCTTAGGACCCATTTCTAGGGTTTGTGAAGAAAATTGGGGTTTTTGCTCAATTAGAGGTAAAGGTGTCTAATTCACACTTTTCTTGTACCTTAGTGAGTTATTTCTCTAGAATTTTGGCCAAACATGCTTGATTTAAGGTTGATTGCTTTAAAAATGATTTAATGGTGCATATAAAGATTTTATATATGTGTGTTTGTTGACTTATGTGATAAGCATGCTTAGTTTAGATGGATTACTCCTTAAATGATTTAATTGTGTATGTGAAACATGTATCTATGTGTATTTGTTGGATTGTATGGAAATTGTGATAAATGGTTGATTTATCATGCTTATTATAATGCTAAATATCTAGTTGATTGTTGTGAGCATGTGTGGTAAATTGTGGTATTAAATTCCCCATTTTATGATATTGTCACGGCATGACAAATGTTAGAAATCCCTTATATTACAACATTGAAAGTATGTGGCATTCATGAATTCATCATTGGGGATTGCACGTATGGAAATGACTTTTGAAAAATGAAAGAATGGGGATTTTCGGGAAAGCTTTGTTGAAAAAGTTTTTTTTTGAGAAACCCGTTCGCCGCGGGGGTACCAAAGGGCCGGAGGTTAATATAGCCTAGAGGGGACTAAGGAGTCGCCCTAGCGTGGTTGAGCTAGCTGGGCCCCATAATGACGCCGCGGGGTTACCAAGGGTCAGGGACACTAGCCAATCCTCCTCTCGTGTCGCTGCGGGGTCACTAAAGGGCGGGTTATATTAACAGTTTGAAAAGTATGGTTGTTTTCTGAGAAATGGGGAGTGACACGCATATCATAGCATTCATGGCATTTTACATATGATTGCTTGGAATTGGAATTTAATATGTGTTTCCCTCATTTTGCATGACCCCTCTTCCTATTGGCCTATGCTTTGTTTGGATTCACGGGGCTACAAGAGGTGCGTCATAGGCACTCTCTACTGAGCTTTATGCTCACCCTATTTTATTTAACATTTTCCAGGAACCGGTAAGGAGGTAGTGGATGCCGATCTTCCACAAGCTTAAGGCTGACTTGGAGCTCATTTTGTATCTTTTGTATATCTCCCATTTTTGTAAGGCCCCAAAAGTGTAGTAATGTGTATTTATTTTTCAAAACCATGGTTAGGTAATATAACTATGTTATTAGATGATATTTTGGATGTGAATTTGATAACATGTAAACCTTATTGATGAATGGGGAGAGTAATACTAGTTTGAAGTATTATTGAGGTCATTTGATTGTATATTATCATCTACTATTGCCGTGAATTCGGAATTTGAGCCATGATAGGTTAAAAATGAATTTAAATAGGTTGTGATAGGCCTATTTTTAGGGGAGGTCATGCCGAATTTTTTTTTTGTTTAAAAAGTATCAGTTTTGGAATCGTTACACATCTCTCTCTCCATTGGCGTAGCCCTACAGTTGGGTGAACCATATAAAATATTATGTTCTGCATTGATGTGTATGACTTTTTTCGCCATATATGCTTATGTGATGATGACGCTTCTGTTATGTATGATGAGGAAATTTAATTCTGAACAACAGCCAACCATTAAGTGGGTAGGAAGGAGTTAATATCCCCTAACAACGTTTTGATATCATTTATTGAGTTCCTGAGGTGTAGTGTCATGAAAAGAAAATCATTTAAATGCTATCAAAAGCTAGCAAAGTGGCCATCCTTCAAATTATTTGTGAAATCAAATTGCTCTGATTTCTATCCTCTTATCAAATATCTAGTTAGACTGTGACATTGTTTTATAACTAATTTCGCCATTTCATGCTGCATAAATTTATCCAAAGGATTTCTCTCAAATCAAATTGATTAACTAAATTGTACCACATATATACTAGCAAGTAATCCATCATTGGGTCACTTATATGAATTTTATTGGCTGCTGAAACTATAGGAATTCAAGCACTAATTTCTTCCACTGCAGCCAAGAGATAACAAATTGTTTAAATAAAAGAACTGTGTGAAATAAAAAGTAAAATGGTAGAGAACAAACTATGCTTACCTGTAGGACAAGAAGCCCATCTTCTGCCAACACTGATTCACAACGACTAAAGAACTCTTCAAGGTATTCATGGCCAACATGTTCTATCATCTCACTGTAAATAAACGTCAGCTAGATAAGTGTACAAATTTGGCTAGTTATTATCAGATGTAAATTGGAGATGAACACCATTATTTAGTTCTGGTACATAATTTGGAGATGAACTCACCAAGAGATAATCCTGTCATATTTGTGGGTATCGGGTAATTGGCGATAGTCACAGAGGAGAAATCTTATGCGGTCCTGGGAGCGAAGTCCATTTAAAATGATAAGAGACTTAATGGAAACAATATTCTCAAGGTAACAAGAAACAAATAAAGACATTTTATTACACAGGAGACATTTTGAAGGGTTGAAGTCATTTAAAATGATAAGAGACTTAATGGAAACAATATTCTCAAGGTAACAAGAAACAAATAAAGATATTTTATTACACAGGAGACATTTTGAAGGGTTGAAGTCCTGAATTTGAACACAAGATCTCGGGATCAGGTCCTGAGACCTTATACCAACTCAATTACCTTGTGAGGAGCCAGAAGCAAAAAGGAATATATATAATGATGATCTCATTGTCTCACATGAAACTTATGTGCATTGTTTTATTTATTTATTTATTTTTTAGCACCAGGAACTCACCTAGGCAGGGCTCCTTTGGGACCCACCCTAGGCTACAAACCTGGGGGTGCAGAGCCTCGCCCCAAAGATACACCGGGTAAGTCAGAGGACATGGATGGCTTGGGAGGAATCGCACACTGGCCGCTTGTGGCAAGTGCCAAACACCTACCATCATAGCCAAGCCCCCGGGGGCAACTTATGTGCATTGCGCTATCATAGTCATGCATGTTTAGTTAGTAAAAACTAATCACCTGAAGGCCAGCTTCCTTCACTCTCATTTCTGCAAATCTCAATTGCTCCTCAGATAAGGTGATGCCAGTATATTTGCATCCAGTTCGTTTGACAACTTCAATAGTTAAACTTCCCCAACCACATCCAATATCAAGAATTTCATGTTTCTCATCAATTCTGGCCTATATTGGAACAGAAAATAGTGCAAATAAGATAATTTTACTTAGAAATTCTCATTAAAAATAAAGCAGATGTTATAGATAGACTGACTTTTTCAATCAGGCTTGAGATTTTTCTTAGCTGTGCAACTTTCAAGTCTTCACTTTCCGTCTATCAGAAGTTCAACATGGAAATCAGTATTACAAAGTTTGAGATTTAAAAAAAAAATTTGAGGATAAATTTTGGGGTTGTAGATAAAATAATCAAAAGATCGAAATCTGTACCTTAACTATTGCACAGGAGTATGACATTGTTTCATCCAAGAACAGAGCAAATAGTTCGTTACTCTGGAAACGAGAAACCAAAAACCAATAGTCGGATTACATTTTTTGTATCTTAATTACTTGCAATAATATTATTTTAAACAAAAGTTGGTGTATGCAAATTCATACAGATCAGCACGATGCTACCATGAAAACGAAAAGGGTTACAGAACTTACAGGCCATTCTGATGGAAATTGAAGGCAATTAACTTGGGTTATAAAGCTATTTTATAAAGACTCTTATTTATTACAACATATCTTAATCAACATTAAGAATTTCTAAACCAAAGGTACAACTGTTTTATTAAGTAGAAATCTGCTTGATTGGACTCGATTTCGTTTGAATAATCCAAATCCAGCAACATGGGGAGACAGCTAAATACTCATGTTTTTTAATATATACTTCTATTTTCCACAGTAGAATAATTTTGTATTTTGAAGTAATAATGTAAGAAATGAAAGATAATAAGAGAGTTTCTCCCATGACCCCTCCCCCCACCACAACATAAGAGAGTTTTATATACAATTATATATATACTTGAATTATTGGATATACCCGTTAGGTGTATGACCAACTGCACATATGTCGAACTCATTTCAGACGTTTATTAAGCGTCCATATGATACAGAGGACACGTCTTCCCTGATCCTGCACTGAAAGTCTGAAACTTCTGCATTTTCCCTCCCTTTGAGCAACTAAGACATTATTTTTATTACATTATTGTATGTTCAATTTCAAATGTTCTAATTTTAAGAGCATATGTATACATGCTATTTCATTTTCACACTGCTCTACATGGTACTGAAATGATGAAATATATATTTTTTAATTTTATTCTTTATATTTATTTATTACTGTTACATTGTTTAATTTGTTTTCATATGAGCTTATCTTTAACAACAAGTCTTCATTCAACTTTCGTAGAAATAATCACTGTCTTGATAAAAAATAAAAAAAATCTTCATTTCTGAAGTGAAGCTAAATACAATTCTTTTTTTTGAAGGTCATAAGCCATGGTCCAAATAAATTTTTTAACTAGGATTTCACGTGATACTTGTGTTCAAAACTATACACCTATAGACAATATCGTACAAATAGAGAATTATGAACCTCCACCAAGTACATTCTGAACTTATTGAGAGAGAGATTGAAAAGACATTTATCAATGGATTGATATCTCGTACCAGATCATAATGACGAGAGATGTTCCTGCGAGCTTGGGTAAGAGTATTCTGCCGCAAAACATGCTTGAGAAAATACTTTGTTGATGCGATTCCAGCTGTGGAAAGCGATGGTGTCCACCAGCCCCTAACACCGACATTAGAATAGATGGAAACTCAAGTAGGGATAATTAGGAGATGACCAAAATTCGTACACCCATATCACAGTATAACTGGTTCAAGTCAATATTTACCTTTTGTTATTAGACCTTGAGACAGAAGCTTTTAAATCTCTGTTGGCTATATAAATCTGCAGAATAGAATTTTCAAAAGGTAAACATCTACTGGGAACACTTGAAACCAAGCACGGATCTGTAGTATTACCTGGAAAAGATTCAGAAGACCTTCACTTTTATCAACAAAAGAGAAATCACCATTAATGTATGCATCTGCAAGGCCAAATTCATCTTGTGTACTAACCTGTCAAAATAATTCCAAGTAAGAAACATATGCGTAACAGAATTCTAACTTAATTTTGACCAACAATTATATATTTGGCCAGTTCTTTATATTGAAATAAATGTCAAAGACAGAAAATGTGCATACCTTCCAATAAAACTGGGGATTGTGAATTTTCAGATAAGTTTTAAGAAGACTTTTCTTTCTTGTTCCTTCAAAGGTGAAAACTGTACCTCCTTCTTCCAATAAGCTAGGGTGCCACAAAAGGCATGATATCAATTCAAAATTTACTGCATAAGTACTACTCACAGTGCATAAATAATGCAACTCGAAACTAAAATAACCACAATTTTGTAGATATTGAATTATCCAATGAATCCTAGCATTCAACAAAATTTTAAATATATATTATATTATTTATTTTACATAAAATGGGTAATTTGAAGCCTAAACCAGTGACTTGTTACTATCACTCTGAGCTTTTACCATTGTGCCAAACAATGACCCCTGTCCTGCCTTGCCATCTACAAAGAGAATACAACCACCAAACCATACAATCCTATTTTATGGCTATCTAAGTACGATTGAGAATCATGTTCTTTAGCATCTTTCATGTCCAAGTAGCTACTATAGCTTGAACCGAACCAATCCTTCCTGGTGCATTTTATTATCCTCTTGTTACACGAGCCTTAAATCATCTCAAATTTTCTGTCACACTTGCCAACAAAAGCATTGGAAAATTAGCATGATGCCTTCTTCCAAGCAACAAACATGACTAACTAAACACCCTTAGAGTGTGTCTTGGCTCAAAAAAGAAAGAAAAAAATTGTTTATTTCATTTCAAGAAGTAAAAGTAGAAAAAAAAAAAAAAAATCTAAAAATGGAATATCAATCTGTCCTCTGAGTGAACTCACATTAGGCAGCCAGTGGAGATATAATGTTGAAGAAACTTGGTAACAATAGTGCACGCCCATGCTTCGACCAAAGAAGGTACCATAGGTTGTCCAGAACAGCAACACTCTTTTTAAGAATACCATATGCAGCGGCCATGCCAGCCTGCAAAACCAAACAATTAAGAGCCTAACAAACACCGAAGGCAATAACTATTAGCTTTTTATCGTCAATGTGATGTTGGCAAGCACATTTTTCAATTGCCTTCAAAATCGTTGTTATATGTTTTAAAGCAACATTTATTTTTGTTAATAATAATAAAAAATAAACATTTATTTGT